ACTAAAATAAATACTACATTGCTTCTTTACTGATTTTCACTCATCACGGGGGTCTGGAACGTAGCCTCCATGATTACTGTGGGACCGCTGTATACATTTTGGTCCCTATTTACACTTACAGTTTCTCACACCAGAGAGATTATTTCCCGTGTCTGATTTATTTCCCTTAACAGAATGGTCTCAAGGTACATTCATTTAGTTAGAAAGGCTTCAAGTTTATCCTTCTTTATGGCAATTTTACCTATTTTTTTTTTTAAATCTATCTTACTTTTTTGACTATAAAATGACAAGTGAATGCCCTTCCTCTCAGCTTCTGGGTATTACTGGACTATGTTCTGAAAATTATTTATAGCATTAGATAAAATATAAACACTAGGAAAACCAACCTGTCTACAACGCAAACTCAAGATAATCTCTTGTGGCACACATAAAATGTCTATCTTTTAAACAAATCAACTGAGAAGCCACGTAACAGGGAGAACTGTGATATTTGAATTTGTGCCTCAAAAGCGTATGTTGGAAACTTAATCTCCACACTGACACACAGGTATTACCTGAAGCTGGTTCTTAGGAAGGTAATCAGAATTGAACGACGTTATGCAGACAGAACCCCTACTGACATCAGTGGCCTTAGGAGGAAGAACAAGAGGCTGTGTGTGCAGGCTCTGTGTACCCTGCCAGGCAATGCCCTACAACACGCTGCGGTGCAGAGAGGCGGCTCTCACCAGGTGTTGACACCCTGACGGTAGACTTCCCAGCCTCTAATGAAACTGTGTGACATGAATATTTTTCTTTATAAATTACCCAGCTTGTGGTATTGTTATAGCAGCAGAACAGACTAATATTTTATGTATTAATAACAAACCAGTCTTTTCTTTTCTGAAGTTACACAATGGCTATATCCCAAGAATTTTTAAGATTGCTGATTTTACCTTGTAACAGCAGCAAAGACCCTTTTATAGGTCCAGAGAACAGGAAGGTTCTTGTTATGTATTTCCCAATCTATTTGTTTGGAAATTCAAAGAAACTGCATTTTTACCTAAATAAAAATCATACTGGGTGAAAACTACCCACTCGGCCCCCCGCTCCTGTCCCTCTCTTGGGACAGAAGCTTTCTTTCTCTCAATAAATATATTCT